CTGCCAGGCTTTGTCGCTATATCGGAGCCTATGCCTCGACTCAATCCCCCCCCCCCCCCCCCTGCTCGTTTCAATCTTCACCAGCACCGTACTAGCGTGCATGTGGTCGTGCATCACTCCTTTGTCGTGCACGTTAAAGACCCAAGGCTAGCAATAGTACTCAACTAGCTAGATCTTTTATCTACAGTGGAGACGCCAGACGCAAACTGGAGCTGTCTACCCACAATCGAAACAAAGACACATACTCTTAAAATAGAACAGAGATGAACGAGCCATGCCTACAAACATCCCAGCCAACAACGAACGCAATAAGGCGAACCTCAAACACGTTGTTGGTCGCTCAGGGAAGGCTTGCAGAAGTCGCAGAAAATGTTAAGGTTTCTGGGTTATATACAGGCTTCCTATCAAGTTTACTACTTGCATTGACTGCAAAGGAAAGTAGGGGCTACAAAACTGTATTGATTTCACTTGTCTGTCCGATTGGCGCATTAATTCTAATTTGTTTTTATACATTTATTATCCTGCGCCTGGACGCAAATAAAGACGATTCAAGAGATGCTGTTGTTGTCTCTCAAATATATTGCCCCAAATCAATATCCATTTCCCTCCACCAAACCTTCAAGATTGGTGTCGACCAAACCCACCCCTCGCTTCTGCTATCAGTACAAACAAACTTCTCGGACTTTAAGCCCTAGTGAAATATTCTTATTAGATCATGTCCGACGAAAGAGTGACAGCACTCAGTTACGCTTTTTAAAAAAAAGAAGAAAGAAAGCCTGGACAACACTAACGTGGTCTTAATCCTTCTCGTGCTCTGGATGTCTCCCGATAGAAAGGCGCTCCGAAAAGAAAGCAGGTAGGTTTATGTGGAGGAAACGTATGCAGGAAATTTGGCAATATTGCCATGAAGTGTTACTGGGTGGCGTCAAAGGCATGTCGCATCCGTGAGCGCGTGACTTCGCCTATTAATTCATTTTCCCTCGCTCACATGCACATGGGATGGCAGATGAAGCCCCGCTCTCATGTCAGTAGCTTGCGCAGTGTTTACGCGATGTATGAGACCGAGCACATTCTCCGTCACTCCGCCTAGTGAGCCTTTTGTTTGTCTCAAAAGGCGGCCGAATCATCAGAGTTAGTTCCATTGGCAACTGTGCTTCAAGTTGTCTTTTTCCTATTTCTTCGCAATATAGTTGTAGTGTTAGTTTTTCTGCGAAGTATTGCATAGGAAGTTCACACTGGAGTGTAACGTTATTTCCGATATTCACAATATTCCCAATTTTCAGCACGTTGTGAGAGCAATAGCGCGTTAGTAATTAGCTGAAATAAATAGCTGCTTCTTAAGCTCTGTAATAAGTGAATTGTAGATAGTATTTGGTCATGATGACGGTCCAAGACGGAAAAGAAATAATAAGGAAAATAGAGTAGGAAATCAAGATTTTACGCTTTCATTCGTCTTCCTTATTTCGCATCATATTTTCTGCCTGAGACCCCATCAAGTACAGGGTGTCACAAAAAAATATGTTTTTTTTTGTTTTGTTTTTTACCGTGAAAATAAATTAAGCATTGCCGAACGCTCATTTTCCGCCCGAAGGTAGAGCAAGAGGTAACAACAAGATGCCAAAGTTTCAGCCAGATCCGATGCATTTTTCAAAAGTTATAATTGATTTTCTGGAAAGTTCAATGGGAAAATGGCGGCCGACGGAGTTTTCGAATACACGAGGATTTATGGCGCCAGAAACCGAAAACGATAAAAAAAATGGGCTCCATTTTCCCATTGAAATTTTCAGATAATCACTTATAACTTTTGAATAAGGCGTCCGTTCGACTTGAAACTTTGGCATCTGGTTGTGTCCTGTAGCGCTATCTCTGGGCGGAGAATTAGCGTTAGGCGATGCGTAGTTTATTTTTGCGGTAAAAACAAAACCTGTAATTTTTTTTTTTTTGACACCCTGTATTTTGTTGGGAAGCGAAGACGAGTAATCACATGTAGACACTTTCCGAGTGGTGTAATTAAGGCGACACTCTATAACACGTACACCACAACGGCACTTTTTATATTTACTTCGAAATAATTGCGGGTACAAAAACTCTCCGTGTAGGTTAGTTCCAAGAAATGGGCACGTAACGCCGCGTAATAAACTCCCGCTTCTAAAAGAACTTAATCCGGCGATGGCTTCCTCGCGCCAATAGGGTGGCACAATATACATGGCTGATCTTGACGCAATGCAAATATTGACCATTGATAGTGTCAAAGGTTACTGCAACTTGTATACCAGATAAATTAGCCACTAGCTTGCATCGTCTCCCCACCTCCACACCTCACGAGCTCCAGCTTTTCTTGTCTGCTTTCCTTCTCCGGCGCCTGCCGATATTTTGCAGCAATTGCTTCTAGCCCTTGATTCCAGAGCATAAGCTGATTCTTGAAGGCACGTCGACAGTGCGAGGAGCACTAAAATTCTAAAATCTCATAAACTTTTTTTCGCTTTTTTTTTTTGTGAGCAGGTAAAAACAGGAAAGCATTTTACATTATGCGGAAATTAACAGAAAATATGTTCGACAGAGCAACATTTTGTAAAGTCCTCAAGTGACCATGATGCCACCTGGTTTAATCAATATCCCAGACACAAAACATGATAGGGTGCACCTTCGTATAGCAGCGTGTTCGTATTCGTTTCCTGCAAATGAATTCGACCAGGCGATCTTGTCACGTGATAATGTCATGAATCGTGGTTCAATTTCACCAATTGTCACAATGCACGAAAAATGAATGTCTCATTGAAATACCCAAATCAAATGCCAGTCTCCACAGTGCGAGCACTGAGACTTCGTGCTATTGCCAGTGTGGAGGAGTCGGTGGTGGCCGTGTTCTGGAAGTGCGAAGGTGTCACCTTCACACACTGCGTCCCACAGGGCATGCAAGTGATAGTTGTATCCTCCAGAGACTTTATAACAAAGTTTGTTACCGAGGTGAAGGGAAAAAAGCTAACGGAAAAGCCGCAGTTGTGACCTTTCATCGCAACAAAGATCCAACTCCCCGGACCACACTTTTTTAACTATTTCTTTGTGAAAACAATTTTAAACTAGTTCCTCACAATCCCTTTGCTCCTGACCTTTCGCCCAGCGATGTTTCGCTGTTACTGACAATGAAGGGCATTCTCCGTAATCGAGCGTTCTGGAGGTGCCCCGCTGTTACATCATCTTGACTAAAGTCACTGGATCTGGGAAAGTAGCGATATTGCCTTCCCACCTACAAGCCGGACACAAAGAAACACCAACATACGAACGACGAAACCTCTCAAGGTGACTGGCTCATCGCTGATTGCCATGGTGGTCGCCATTTTAGACACTTTCAAAGCTTCGAAGCTTCGAAAGGGTCGTTCAAACCAGTCGCACCAAGATCACTATGGAGCATCATCGTACTGAAAGCGTTCCTCAGCCAGTATGAGCATTTATGGCACTGGGAATGCAATAAGCTTATCACTCATGCTTATTTCTCCAGATGTCTTACAATTAGGTTGCTCTTCTTGGGTGTTTTAAGGCAGTAAAAGTAATTTTCAATGCCTCCAAGCACTGACGTTGCGTGTGATGGCGGAAGGAACGTCTACGGCATCACACGCGGCGTCGATGCTGGGGGCATTGAAAAATGATTTTACTGTCTTGAAACACGCGAGAAGAGCAACATGATTCTAAAACATCCGGGGAAATATGTGTGAGTAATAAGTTTATTACATGCATAGTGCCAAAGACGCTCGCATTGGCCGGGGAACGCTTTCAGTACGATGATGCTGCTTAGCGATCTTGGTGCGACTGGTTTTAACGATTCTTTCGAACCTTTGAATCTTTAAAAGGTTCGAAAGTGGCGACCATCATTGAAACCGACAGCGATGAGCCAATCACCTTGCCGGGCCTTGTCGTCTGTATAAGAGTGGTAAGTTGGGCGAGTTAGTGATGCATTACAACAAAACAAAAAAGCGCGAAATTGAGACGAAGGACGAGTCAGAGGAATGTACAGTGCTAATCAAACTTGTCTATAACGCGCGAGCGTGTGGCTTTTTCCGGGGAGCGCTAGACTGGTGACATTCGCAGAAGCTAAGCTGGCGTAACATAGAACGGCCCACTCGAGGGGTGTCCTGCCCACTCTATCAGCTTGATAAGCGAAAATAGTAAAGTGCTTTATGATATATTGTTTTTGTTTTTTGATGACGATATCGTTGATACGCCGTCATGATTTAGTTTGTTTATTGTTCGAGTAGTGATGTTTGTAAAAAGCGTGCGAGCAGCCTTCCGCGTTCGCCGCCAGCTGATAGAGTGGGCAGGACACCCCTCGAGCGGGTCGTTTCATGTTGCACCAAGTGACCAGCTTAGTTTCCCCGAGTGCCACCAGTCTAGCGCTCCCCGGTAAAAAGCCGCACGCTCGCGCGTTATAGACAACTGTGATTAGCACTGTACACGAAAAGCGCTGAAGCGCTGACTTACTACTGAATTCTAATAAGAAACATGAAACCCCTCGAACACCCAAAACACAAAACACCGCCAATATTATCAATGTGATTACAATCTTGCTTCGTAACAACACATGTGAGAAATCCCGCTGCCAAACAAGGCAATAGACGGCGAACTGACTCACAAACCCTCCTCGCACCGTGACATGACAAAAGCCTCCGTAATTTCCCTCATTCTTTGGGTTGTGTGCCGCGTCACAATGGCAGTCTAAGTATGTATATGTTGGTATTTGTGTCCGTTTAGCAGGTGGGAAGGCAATGGCGCTACTTTCCCAGATACATTGACTTTAGTCTTGACTGTCCCCAAAAGAAGCCTTCGCAGCGGCTGTCCAGTCGTGGTACCGACAATGCCAAGACTGTATAGAACGAGTGTTACTATATAAAGAAGGAACAATGTTTCTGCTCTTTCTTAAATGTACCTTTTCTACAAATAAATGAGGAAACCTTGGAACATGAATGATCATAGTACACCGCAAAGGTATGGTTCAAAACGCTCACCTGTTTACTGGCTTCAACCTCGGCCAGCCGTTCCTCCTCCGTGGGCATTTTTTTGAGCCAGTCAAACTCGAGCGGAAGACTGTAGTGCTTGTTTGCCACCACGATGACAACGGGCCTCGGACGACTCGAAAAGTCGCCCTGTAAAGCACAATTATAAATCGCGCATCAAACCCGTCCTTGTATTTTAGTGAGATACTATCAACGAAAGGATGTGTCGAAGGACGCTGCACGGCCTATCGGTAATGCTGCCTACACAAATTGTTCCCCAAATCTCCGCGCAGATTGTCGTTGAAGTGCGACAGCATTTTGCACAGTCTTGAACTTCTAATGTTCCTTTATTATATTTCTTAAGAACTGGTGCGGAATAGTTTTTATCGACCTTCATAAAGTCTTCGCCATATTTAGAACCAATTCAGATATTTGTTCTGTCTACTTTCTAAGGACGGACCCCCCTTGACCTACCAACGATGTTTGTTGTACCATTACTGTAATTGGGATGTTTCCTTCTTGTTAAATTTATATAAACATAATAAGCCATTGGGTAGATGCAATGTATGCATTATATTAAATTCGTTGGGCGCATTATTTCTGCTTATATTATAAGCATCTATATAAATCTTGCGCCCCGCCAGCCTCGCTGCTCACAAACAAATCAATGGATGTAAAGGTGCGTACGGCTCGCCCAAGAGTGATCTTAAAAAACGCATCCTTTATACATTTGACAAAAAAAAAAACCGAAACTGCGACGAGAAAGGACGGACAAACACAAAGTTTCAAACACAACTGAAATTTATTCGACACCGAAAGGGCCTATATAGGCATCAAATCCTACACAAAACACCAGAGACGGGGGAGAGAGAGAGAGAAAGAAGGGAGAAAGAAATAGAAAATTCCGTGCCTTAAGCAGTACAACAAAGCAACCTTTACAATAGAACTGAGAAGCGTTGACCTCCTTTATACAATACAAAGAAAAGGCAATTTTTTTAACGTTGTTCACACCGGCAGTGCCCCCGAAAAACCCCAAAAGGAAGACGTTTCAAGGATCACTCAAAACGTGCACTTTTCTGGCGAAAGTCGAAACACTAGAAAAGAAATCACGCAACGAAGCAAACAACCAGGAATTCAACACAAAGCAAACCCATCTTGATAAAACTTGAAATAATTTGTCCGATTTCCAGTTTCATCAAAATCAATTCGCTTTTTGTCCGATTTTTTTTTTTTCAATGCCCTTGCATATTTTTTTTTTCTTTCTCTGAGGCACAAAAACTTAGCTTGATGTTAGCGCAGTACGTGCACACGCAAACTTCGTGTCAAGATGTATACTCCACCCAGTTTGGTCTCAATCAGTACCACCTGGTGAGCCCAATGTCAGTGTCAGGGTAAGCCTCCTTCCACCGTGGCCTCCTTAAACAACCAGAAAGTTTCACAATAGACCTAGTAATAAAACATTTTGACCCGTATTCGTTTTGTCTGTTTGAAATTATGCCAGTAACGTCCTTCTTGTTCGGGCTTTGTTGAGAGCAGTTGAGTTCATCTTTACTGTAGTAATTTAGTGCCGCCTGAACATCCTTTTGGCTCAGCCTCATTCTTGTGTAGGGTCAGGAATTGACCATACTCCGAGTGTCTCCCGGCTCTTACTTGCTTTTTGGATCAGGTGGCAAGTTGCTGAAGGAATCATCTTTTGGGTTTGTTGCTGAGAGAGATTCCTAAGAAGAAAGGTCAGGAGATGACATCGTTCTTGGTACGAATCAGAAGAATCGAGCGCTTCCCTACGGTTGCTAAACAACTCCAGGCTTATGTTGGAGTTTTGTACCGAGGATCTAGGCTTTTTCGTGGCTCCATATGCTGCAGTGAGGCTTGATAAAATTTTCTTAAAGAGAACGCTCTCGACCTCTTTCTGCTTCCGCCTTGCGTAAGACTTCCAACAGTGCGATTGCAACTCCGTCCGTGATTTCATAGGTGATATTCCTGTTGACTTAACGAATCCGTTCAGATTCTCGACGGCTGCGTCCTCAGGAACAAAGCTTTCCTCAGGCTCAGATGTCTCTGGAGATTCTTTTGCGAGTTGTTTGAAGCGGTTGAAGCAGTTCTGACACAAAACGTAGGCATCTCTGATAGAGTTAGCTGCTTCTAGGATTTGCTTCTTGAACAAAATGATGTCCATATCCCTCACACTGCGAAAGTTTCTTTGAAATTTGAGTTTTATTTTCTTGTGCCTGTCGAGATAGTCAGCGCAGAATACTCGCTTTAAGCTGTACGATTCAGCCATCGAAACGCGGGGAGTGCTAGGTCTCTGCAGTACTTACTGACGATGCTACCGAAGCGTCCGCCGGATGGTCCGGATGGCCCACGAGAAAGGCAAGTGAAAGTGAACATTATCTCTGGAGCCTCCTATCACTGCTATCATTTTCCAACAACGGGTACGCTTTTCTCCAAAGTTCGTCTGCCCTTCGCGTTGGACGGTCCACCGCGGCGGCGGCTCCAATTCTGTGAGAAGGCGCGCCGGTTCTGCCATGCCATATCATGTACCTCTAGGCAAAAGGCTGAGTTAAACATGTGTTAAGCCATAGCCTCCTCTATACTCACAAAGACTGTAAGTTCGACGACAGAGCCATGGAGCGCCCGGTCCCAGATTTGAAACAGGGGGATATAGGAAGTATTCACTGGCGGCCATAGCTGTGTGCGCGACTGCTGAGCGCGTGCTGATGGCGAGCTTCCACAGTTCTTTTGTAACGTGCATTCCGCACCCTCAAGATTGCCGATCTTAGCAGCCTATTAATGAGGGCTCGTTCTGGGCATGCGCTCTAGACAGCACCCACAAATAAGGCGCCCAGTGAATACTCCTTATAGTAGCAGAGAGAATTTCTCGGCGAAGCTGGTATTGAGTGCACAGCTTTTGCAGCGGCGAGGACGAGCAAGGAAAGCGAGAAGCACGAGTGGACATTCTATCGCTCGCGAGAAGTGTGTTTCGTCGTCTCGCCGCAGCGGGGCGCGCGTTACATAACTCTCCTATCATCCGTTGTCTACCGTTCTACCTTTTCACTTTCGGCGGCCGCGTCTCATGGTGATCTGCCAGGCTTTGTCAGTATAGAGGAGGCCATCGTTAAGCGGAGCACGGCCACTTGATCCCCCCTGTTGGTGCGGCCTGCCGATGTCTTTCCGAAAACAAAAGAGCGCGCGTGAGAGGAGAACTTCTCCCATTTTCCGTGGGGGCGCTGCACATCGGTGAGCGGTCTTGTGAGCTGAAAGCTATACTGATTCACCTTATGTTGTACCGCAGGAAAGGCTGTAAGCGCGAGCTACTTGCTCTGGGGCGGATCTCGGCGGCACAAGCTCTCGTGCAGTAAGGGCAGCTGTCAACGCTATGAGCTCGCGCTTCCAGCCTTCGCTGCGGTACAACATAAGGTGAAACGGAGTATAGAGAAGGCGCCCAACCTCTTGCTCCGCTACCCAGATAAAATAGGGGGTTTTCGTAGATCGTTCTCGCCGTCCCGCAAGGCCCTCCGCAACCCGCTACGATAGCGGGAACTCCACAGTGAAGGCTATCGGCGCGCAGGCGCAGTAGCAACTTCTTCGTTGCGGAACGCTTAGTGGAGGGGGCAGCGCGGTCTAATATCTGCCTGTCATTGGCTTCGCCGGTACCGACGCGCTACCGCGGTTGCAGAAGGCAGCAAAACTCGGTTTCCTTCCACCTATGCACCGCTGTGCTCGGCGAAAATACCGTAGTGTCACTCTGCGCTTGCGTGTGTGGTTTGTGTTGGCATTTTGGAAGCTGCCGGAAATGTAAATGCGCGTTCTAGTTCTGAGTGCCAGGCGGCGATTAAATGTGCCAACTCCACTCGTGAAACAAGAAATCCTGCAGTTGATGAAGTATAATAAAGTCTCTTCCGAACTTGAGTTCGCACCGCTGACTTACATGGCTGGTTACTTGGCCTTCGTTTGCGAACAAAAGGTGACCATTTTTATTTGTAGAACTTGTCGTAATTTCAAAGTAATTAGCTGAAACATTCAACCTAGCAAAGTAATAAGAATTTCTTAGTGAAAGCAAGGAAGGCTAATGTGTAGAACCCGCTAAACTTTGCAGGTGACGTGTCCTGAATGCAAGCGCAACTTAAGGGAAATGCATCACATGACGGGGCATATCAGTCCATGTTTAGCCTTGACCAAGGAGGACTCAGCTATCCACGACCTGAAGCTGTGTGGCTGTGCAAGCTCCTCTGCACCTTTGTCGAGAGGGCTCTACAGTCGGCAGAGATTCGTGGTTGTGGAAGGATTTGCAAGGTCCTCTCGAGCGCTGTGGTTCCACACCTCATGGACTCCCCGCTGATGTGGTGTGTTAACTGCCGAGACCCCTACCACAGCGAAGAGCTCTGCGAGCTCTTTCTCAGAAAACTCCTCAGACATTTTTGGCAAACTGGGCTGGTGACCTGAACAGCCACTAGAGAATATATTGAGGTTTTCGCGAAAGCCTTTTTCCAGAAAGGTACTCCGCTTGTGAACTATATGACTCGCTTGGTTTGTTTTTGTGAACAATGAAGTTTATAATGCTGAAGTTATGCACGCGGAATCCGATTTTATATTGTCCTTCACAGATGAATAAATGGAACAGCTCGCGCGTGCTCGAGCATCGGTTAAAACCGGAAATCACACGGCCTAGCTATATCCAACTATAACTCCTATAATAATGTGGTAATAGAAACGGGGCAACACTTACGGGAACAGGAAAACGACGATTCGCTCATACTGTCAGCAGAATGCAGCTTTAACGCGCAGCCTGCAGCTGAGTGAGCTTTTCGCAGAAAGAATCATGTGCCTTTATTCTACACAGATTTGTCACATCATTCATGCAATCTGGCACTCGTTTCAAATAAGACTTGCGGCTTCACGAAAAAAAAAAATGTAAATAGCCACACTGGGCCGGGCCGGGCGTACTGCTCCCCTCTCACTATATTTCGTCTTACCTTAGCATGGACCACGGTGGAAGAAATACATTTAGGTGGTGACTCTGGCCGCTCTTCCCGCGGGGAGCGAGTGACCAGATCGTGTTCGGAACTAGCCTCGAACAAGGAGTATACTCTGTTTCACCTTATGATGTACCGCAGGAAAGGCTACAAGCGCGAGCTCCTTGCTCTGGGGCA